TTATCCCAAGTCAATTTGGAAGCGTCTTCGGAAAGTAGGCATTCCCGAATTCGATTGTTGGTGATACCAGTAATCAACTGCTGCACTAGCATTACGCCCTCGATTCTATTTTTCGGTATGGTTGAATACTCGCAGGGTCGTACAGCGCGAATCAGGCGATCCACGAAACCGTCTAGAGTTTCCGATGGTTCCTGTGTAAGTCGGCCGAATTTGAGGCGAGCCATGAAGAGATTTGTACGCTGTCCCCATGACTTGTCCAGCACCTCTAGCGCTTTCGTTAAGGTATCTTGTGACTGCAGCTCCAAAGCATCAAATTGACGTTGTCCCTCATCACCGAGTAGGTGTCTGAGTAGCTTCAGTTTCTGGCCTTCAGTGTAGTTGGCAGCCACAGGTAGTAGGTCAAGATAGTTTGTAAACGAGGTTTTCCACTGGGCCCATGCACTTTCGGTAGGACGTAAGGTCGGATCAGACCAGTAAACTGTAGGAGGATGTAATTCCATGGCGTAGGTTCGTAAGGCGCGACGCCAGTGTTGTGTACGTAAGGTCAAAACGCACGAGCAAGTTAAAAGGTCATTCTGATAAACGGACTGCTGTAATCTGATCAATGTCTAACTGGGTGAGTACATAAAAGTGTCACAAGGAGAATGATGAACCAATAGGGAAGCAGAGAATTGGACGCTTTGTGTATGTGTGTGTGTCTGGAGTTGTGTGCACCTGTCTGTTTAGACTAGGTCAAGAATGCTGACAGAATACACAACAGGCTCCATTTCGATTTATTAATCCAGGCCAATAAGGTGGCGTATGTGTTAGGTATGCCTGCGTGCTAAATAATCTTGAATTTCAGAAGTAGATGTTGTTTGAAGTCCCCGATGTGACTGCGTCTGTTGTGAATTTTGGCAAGGTGCCTACCTGTCTAATACCCACTGCTTCTTCCATACTGGTTCCAGGAGACAGTTGATCGTTGCTGTACGGGACGGGGTGCACAGTCCTCGTGAAGGTGCTAGGCTCATAGAGTGGTTCCATTCTCTGTGGGACGGGCTGCAGTCCAGCCACCGCCAAATGTACGTCTGGTGTGCATGCTTTCTCATTTAGGCCAGAACGCTTCTGTTCTGCTTGTTGAGTGAGTGTGGGCCGGCTCCGCTGAAGAAACCTGGTGCCCACCCACACACCTCCCGATCTTGTTTATTTGGGTATACACTGGATATGGGGTGTGTGAGTGTAATTGTGGGTGGTGCAGCGTAAGCTACCCCTCAGTGCGATTTGGATTGAGTTTAGATGGGTAGTTGAGTAAATTTTTACATTAACAACGAAAGCTGATGAGGAAAATATTAAATAGATCGCGTTATGCTGCTGTTAATGGAGACATGATATAGAAAATTGTCACTCTTCACCAGTGTTCTGCTAGATGAATAGGTATTCGACGCTGTTCAAACGAATTTTGTGGACGCAGGCTTCTCAAAAACCGACTGAAATCATCTCTCATGATGTTTGCCAAGAACATAAATTCATGTTCGATAGGAAGATCTATAGCTAGCTGGACGTAGTCGCAATTTGCTCTCCGTCAGGACCCCAGTTAACAGATAAGTTTATAAGAGTTGGAGAAAAATGTCTGAACGGACGGTAGGTGGACGATACATTGCGTTTCAGCTAGTTACCTCTGAACGAAAGAACTAGTGAAGCGATTTAACTCAACCCACACCGATATAAACTTCACCGTTGAATCCGAGTGCAGCGGCTCAATATCGTACTTACACGTTCAGATGCGCCGAAGTACTGACGGGTCTCTCCAGCAGAATGCCCATAGAAAGACAACGTTAAACGAGCAACATACTCAGTTTTCCAACTTTCTTCCACTCAGCCAACATAGAAAATTTGTTCGGTGCCTAACCGAGCGAGAAAGAACTATAGGCAGCGAGGACATGCTACCGGCCAAGCTAAAGTTTGTAGGCGAATTGTTTGATATAAACGGCTATCCCGTGAAATCATTTCCGAGAAACATGGCGATTCGAGAAGCAAAAGTAGGTTAAATCCGATCAACTTATGGTTGCCGTTCGAAGGGGACGGTATAGCTAAATGGACGTCTAGTACAATTTCTGACGTCTTCATGTAAACCTATTATGTTCCAAGCCTATGGCTAAGCTTCAACCATGTACCGAAGCCGATTCAACAACTAAAAGACATAAACCAAAGGGCAAATACTTCTTTCCGTTTATACACCTCTTGATCTTTTCGATCAAGATGTATCAAAAAGACCACAAAGAGACAGCCTGAGAGAGCCAAGGAAGCACTGTTCAGCTTGGCTGTATGGTGGCATGATTAAAGCAGGGGTAAGCGCAATGTCTGTGCACCTTGCCGATTCTAACCAACAAGTCAGATCGCATGAGGCTTTCTAGACCATCTGCCGCTTACCCGGAGGCCAAACAACAGTGTTCAGATTTTGTCTATTGTAAGTGTCCTACTCAGACCCCATTCGACTTCACGACCCGGACTTATGTCATTCAGTTGTGGTGCATAACATAAAGAGGAAACAAGAAAAATGAAGTTTTTTTCTACCAATATTTCTGAGAGTAATCACCTTTCCTAGCTTCACGATATAAACACACACTCATTTCCTGCTGCACATATTAGATACGCAATGAGCTTACTCCCGTCAGTATTTGTATATTTAAGACAATGGACATGCGCATCACTGACGCTTGTGCGCGAGCAAGTTATCACTTTGAATGGTTTATATGGAAATTGATGGTGTTGATACAGAGGTTGCTGAAACATGTGAGTAGGAACTAATGCGTAATGTTTGTTGTAAACACATATTTGTTAATTTTTATTGATTCCCTTGCGAATACCCTAGGAACCAGCACCTTATGTAATAAGGACTCTGAACACAGCAGCTGCAATGATGTAATTTGACGTTCGGTCGGCGCTCCCTATTCGGGGTTCCGGTACTCATTTACTTGTATGAAATATGAGTGGCAGAAAGCCTTTAAGTGAATTTGTGAGAAAAAAGGTAAATGATTTATTTGTGCAGCAGTGAGTGCAGTTGCTGAACGTATGGAGAATGTTCACTTGTGTTGGAAACTTGCAAGCCAATTAAATGATTGAGCTGTGTTTCTCAAACTTGGACATCCTCGGAATCCAGTGGTTCACTAGATAGAAACCGCCACCAAGTATGAGGAGACTGCACTAAGCAATGTAAACGTAACTTCAAACGTACATTTTGCAGCTGCAACGAAAAGTCGAAGGAGTAGGATTTAGCAAGTTGTTGATATCAAAGGTTTCGCGTCCAAATCATCGTTGAACATAAGGGAAGTCAATTCATTTGCATGTGCTTATACAGATCTAGTAAATCAGCTTTGATAAGACGCCTAATTCACCCGTTTGTTACCAATAGAAACGAGACAAATTGTTTCATCACAAAGCGCAGCAGTATATGTGAAAGGAAACAAACGGGTTAGGAGATTAAACTGACTTACGCAACTTGGCTATTAACCGAAACAAACCACACTGACCTAATGAAACGCCCGCCTGATTTGCATCCGTTAAATCACCGCTAGTAGGCGACGTCATTACTGCAACTGTGGTTACTGATATGGTGTTTGTGGTGGGTTCGTCTGCATTTAACTACCAGAAACAATGGCAGCATATGTGGAATTGAGGAAACCACTGTAGCCATTAACCAGCTAAATGATTTAAACGGTCGGACCCGTGTTTCAAACTAATTTCAGAGATCTTTCAAAGAAAATTTCAGCGAAAACGGAGCAAACATCCCGCGTGTCTTTTTGTTGAGATTGTAACTATCAGAGTTACAGCGACATACTAAGTTAGAACTAATTGGTTCGCATGGTTGCATTTATAAAATTGTTGGCATACTGTTTTCTGGCATGTTCATGATTGCTCGCTTTCGCGTGTTGATTTACAAAATTCTTGGAATTCGGAAGGTGCAACACATAAACCAGAACATGGGCACATAAAACTCGAATTTCATAAAGGTGTAAACTGTATATTAACTAGCTATTTTTATTTTTCATTGTTCCGCAAATAATGAGTTTTGTTTCTATGGTTTGAAAATTGTGTTTGACCTTTTTGATGGGTAACATTATCAAAAGCTTGCCGAAGAAGACTCACCATGCGCGGTAGACACTGTGGTGATGCTTTCGTTTACCATAGTTGTGACGGACTGCCAACTGGTACCTATTACCTCGACTGTCGTTTCTGCATGGGGATTTTCGAAAGAGGGAAGTAAAATAAAAGCAGACGAACTCGTCATTTCGCTACAGGGAACAAGTTCATAAAGTCAGTGTTTGGTCATGTGTTTTCACAAGTTGGCTCAACAACTCATACTAAATAGTGTAACAGGAATTATATTTACCCATTTATCTGACCGCATAGGATAACTGCTAGTTGGTTTTCTTGGATCCTACCAAACCCATGAAAGTATCGATGTATTGAATGCTTGTAAGTTTAGGTAAGTCAAGAGCATCCTTTATGTCAAGTCTAGCATATGTAATACATCATGTGAGCTTAACATTCTTCTCCCAATATATTGTGGTTTTTTTCGCACCTAATTTGAATAAACTATTTGGTCAGTATAGATTATAGCGGTTGGTTGTCTGCATAATTTTACTTAAAATGGGCAATGTAGAGAAGCATTGGATTCAGGAATTATGGCAGTAATAATAATACGAAGGAATACATTAGCAAATGCATTTCTGGGGCACAAGTGCACATAGAGAACATGAGTCAATAGTCCATTTTACAGATGAAACCAAAAGACAAATGGGTTGAATTTATGAAGTTATCGATACCGGAAATTTCGTTTCCAAATCATCGTTGAACATAAGGAAATTAGTTAAAAGGTAATTAATATTCCAAACCTGGAAAATCGGTTTTGATAAGTCTATGGGTTCACCAACTTGGTTGCAATGGCAACGTGACAATTTGCTTCAGCACAAACATCCTCAAGGTGTGGGAATATAAGCAACGGCATTAGAAGTTTGATTCTACAATCGCACATTTACTTTGAACCCAAACGGACAAAACTCACCGTAAGAAACGTTCGTCTGATTTTCATCCGTCACATCACCGTCAGTATGGGACGCCATCACTGCAAGTGTGGTTGCAGGTACGGTGTTGGTGGTGGACTCGTCTGCGTTAAATTGTCAGAAACAATGACAGCATGCGCGGAATTGAGGAAAAAATGCAGCCATTAATCAAGCGAATGCATGAGAAGACCAGACTAATGTCTCCACCCTCTTCCATAAAATTAACGTAGCATATTTCAACGAAAACCTCGCGACCATCTCATGAATGCAATTGTCGGGATTCAGCTTGTACAATTAATACGGTGTGCTAAGTTAGAGTTTATTGGTGTAGTTCCTAGTTCTCCCGACCGGGGAAAACTTAAAATGGTTGTCCAAATGGCAGCAGTGATTCCGTAAGTCATCACAACTGCAAACATATATAAATATTTCGGTTCATAGAACGGCAATCAAATATGTCATTTGAGATGGCTGTCGTAAATGTAGGCGTTTGTTTTGTTTCAATATGTTGTAAACGCTTTATCTTTAACCATGACTTCTGCAACACCTAGCTACGTCAAGGGGAAGAAGTCACACCCGCACTGCACACAAACGTTCTATATACCACTATTAGGAATTTACAACTAGCTGTGTATTTAAAAACTCACTGGTCTACTCGATTAATCGCCTGATCAACCGCACTGAGGCAGACGCTTCCCAAATGCAGCTTTGCTTACGGCTCTATTACCTTCCCCTTCAACTCGGTCGCTCCTATCTGTTTTCTACACTTAAGCTTGATCGCAGCTTTATACTGTGGGGTTCATTTGTCGCCATCTTACTTGACTTTGTCTTCCACTTGGCCTGCATGGCAGATCGTGTGTTGCCGGAGCGACCGGCTGTGTTCCGCTCTGGGGATCAATTTGCAGCCAGAGCGGTCGTCTCCGCATTGGCTGGGTTCCGCTTTGGGGATCAGCTTGTAACCATGGTGGAAGTGCCCGCTTTCGGGTTCGTCCGCATTATACGTCATCTGTTGGTTGCATCTAATGTTGTGATCTAAGCAGCCGCTTTGTTTCGTCTTCTAAACAAAACGTGTATAGCAAGTTGTCCCATGGTATGCATGGCCGTTCTGGGGGACTTTGACTCTTTCCGTGATTTGGCTTCAGTTGACTGGTGTGCCTGACCAAACAATACTTTCCAACTATTAGCACCTAGATGACCCAACCGTTTCTATGGAACACTCTTCCTGTCGAATACCACGTCGGTCCTCGAGAGTCTTGTGCGAACATCATGTTCCCAATTTTGAAATGAGCTACGCTGTCTCTCCGATTTTCCCCCACACTCCTGTTTACCTTTTCATTCTGCGACCCCCAGCCGTGTCAAAGGAAAGAACTCACACCCGCACTGCACACAAACTTTCTATATACTAGTATGACGTAAGTACAACTATATGTGTATCTAAAAACTCAATGGCCAAATTGATCGAAGGCCTAATCGAACGCACTGAGGCAGAAGCAGACGAAATTCCGCTCCGGTTACGTCTCTATTACAATACTGATGAGCAACTTTTATAGGTACACATTCCGTGCATTACTTGAAGCAGAGTAGTGATATGAATATCAAAAATACTATCCATTTGTACGCTCCATCTATATGGGGTGAGCTGCCGATCCGTGGACTTTTCTGCTTCATTGATTATTAAGCGTAGTTCGTAATATACTTGCGTTTTGAGAATGCGCTCTCACAGCTAGCAATGCTACCGTTTCGTATAAGAAAGATGCGTGGCAGTTTCCCCAAGTTGATATTTAAGTGTGAAGCCCAACAATTCAGAAGGTCCATTAAGTTTTCATTTACTTAAGCTTTCATCTATACTCCTCTTTTTGAAAAAAATTCCTTTGTGCTATGTCTCCATCAATTTCACTAAGCGGATAGCAATAGGTGGCATCAAGCGAATATATGTAGTTTTACTAGGACATAACTTTGCTGAGAATCGTGGCATTTCATTAGTTTAACTGTCCATGACAGACCGCACCTGCCGTTTTAATTAACCGTCAAATCCCATGGATAATTCAAGCATTCGTCACCACCCATTCATTTATTTGGCGCATTTGACGCTTCATGCTTGTTCCCAACTTCGCTTATTGTTTGTGCATTCCTCCGAGGCAATGTCGGACGTTTTCCCACTATTCTGAAGAATGCAAACTCTTAACGTTGTAAGCTTCACGTGAATTCGCTGCATATGCAGCCTTTTTGCTTAAACACACCTGTGTATCCTTGATTTTGATGAGTAAAGATTTTCAGTTGCACGGAAACCAAATAAACAAAAACGACAACACCTAAGATTTCGTGCAAATCGCTGATGATGCTAAGGTGAGGCTGACGATCGCCTACCCAGGAGATAGTGATACACGTAGGAAGGGTATACACAGATGGATCGGCATGCTGTTTCCTGGCATATTCATGGTTGTTCGTTAATCTTAATGATTTTCAAAACAATTGGAATGCGGCATGTAAACATGTGCATGACTGGGTATATGTGGAATTTTCGAATATGTTGTTGTTCCACATATAATGACTTTTGATCAGAATATTGGATTGAAGATTTTTTGACATAGAATACGCATTCATAGATGGGGTTATTTAAACATGTTGCATGCGACTGAGAATGCTCGGTGGTCAATATGGTGATGATTCTCTTAAGCTCATGTGTGACGGCTGGCAAACCCGTGATTCTGACTCAGACTGTCGTATCTTCACAGGGATATTCGAAACAGGAAAGTGCATTAAGAGCGGACAAACCCGTATTTGCGCTACAGGGAACACGTTGATAAGGTCAGTGTTTGTTCATGTGTTTTCAGGAGATAGTTCTGCTACTCAAGCTGGCTAAGTTTTTAAAGAGCTAATATTACTACTTTTTTGACTGTCTAAGTGATACTTGGGTTGCTCCGGAGCAAATTGAATGGGGATCTTAAAAAACTCATTTAGGTATCGATGTCTTTTGAGATTTCAAGAAAGAGTACATCAAGAGCATTATTTTGTCAACTACAGTATGTGTGATATCTCGTGAAAGTTGAATAATCTGCTGCTAATATATTAAAGAATTTCTCCCTGAATTTGGCTAATATTCTCTACTTTAAAAAATTGTAAGACTGGCTGTCTACATACTTTCATATAAAGAGAGAAACATTGAGAAAGCCGTAAAACAGAAATTGGTATAATCAAGCTAAGCCGCATCAGTACATTGGAAAATGAATTCATGGAGGACATGGGTACGATAAACCTCGGGTATAAGAGCACTTGTCACTATTTAACAGTATAGTCTTGCAGGATAAGCGTGCTATTCATGTTCTTTCGTGGTTTCAACTTTAAAGACACGATTCCTGGTAACTGGCGAATACCCATCTTTTGTTTGTGCCTAACGTAAAGTGTCGTTGCTACTAGCTGCAATCGGATGATTTTCGAGATGATGACTACGAAAAATTTCTTTTTCATAAAGGTACACCAAATAAAAATATCTGCATGTTCGACGTTAACACACTATTGAGACGGTACTTTAATGTCACCCGCCACTTACTCCGTGAGCTAGACGATAATGTTTCTGTATCCGTTGTTAGAGTTTCGGTTGTAGGCATCATTGTATTTGTCGGCATAACAGATGGTTCTGAATATAGATTCCCTGGAGCCATGATCGAGAAAGAATCATGAATTAAAAGCAGTACATCTTTGAAATTCATAAACTATGCGTGGTTATAGACTTGACTATACCCCTCCGAAGTTCTGCCTTACCCAACTCTATGGAGATTTACGATTGTAATACATTTGAAGTTCACGAAAGCGAGTAGTTTTGCAGATTTTGACCGGCGAGCACCGGAGTTAAATAGTGGGCATAAAAGTCATATTTTCGCGTAGTTTGTTAATAGCTCAGTCGAAAAAACGTGGACCTGATTATAAAGTACAGATGAGCTACATGTCCTACCTTCCTTGATATTTGGTTAACAGCGTGTAACACTACATTCCCTCCTGTTTGAAGTCTCCCAATCAGAGCAAGTTAACCAGCAGCAAGTTCGTGGCACCGCACTCTGAAGCAGCGCCATCCGGTAGATAAAACATTTTTGACTTAATGGCCTCATAGTGAAAATTACGGATGGGTCAACAAAGAAGCTTACGATTTTAAGGCAGATATTAAAGGCGCATTGAATAAGGTGATGTAGTTTAAATAAATCTCCAAGTGTAATCTGAATCCGATGAAGTAATGCAGCTGAGGTAGGTGGGGTGTGAGGACTAGAGGATAGAAACAAATTATGCTTAATTTCATTACGTTTACTTCAGCCACACTAATGAGATCCTTCATAGCAATATCCACTTATATCGCGCTTAAGTCCAACGCTCATTCTACCGGTAGATTTCATTTGCACCTTTGGGGATTCATGAGTCTCTCCGCATATATTTAGCCCTAAACCACCGACTCCTGGATTAGAAGTGACGCCTGAAAACCACGTCTACCCATCGGTTGAAGTGCTTAGGGGTACATTAGGAAAATAGGTTGATATCTCTTAGGTGACAACTACCAGATCAGTTTGGAAGAGCCCGACTTAGAGAGGCTAGATAGATCCCTTAGGAAATTGCCATCAGAACATACAGATATAAGAATCAGCGAGAGTGGACTATTAGTTTGCTTGTAATATATGAATCTATCCGGAGAATGAGGATAATTTGCGTGCTGGCAACTTGAAAATTAACATATTGGTCAACTTAAAAGATATCCGCATGGAATTCTTACCGTCTGAATAGTATGCATCAATTATATCCCATTCTGTTCCAAGTACCGAGGAGTAGGCAACGGTCATTACGTTGCTTGTGGAGTTTACATGGATGTGGCCAAAGTATGTTGTCATACTGAATTCCGCCAACACTGTTCCACCGCAAGTACTACCGTCCAGCACGCGAAGCCAGGAACCAATGAAGTTCAGCTTTTAGGAATCGTAAAGCGGCTGGTGTTAGTATGTGGAATCAAATGTTATGCAGTTGCATAGTAATATTAAAAGGCCTGTTGTAAACTCGATGTACTGCGTCTAAACAATCCTCAGGCAAACAATCCCACTAAGCAAATTTCAAGAAGCCTGCAACATGTGGGACCCTGTGTTAACTGCGGCATTGGATGTGACTACTGATGATAACAGAAGCAGTAAGCCATTAAATTTTGCTAATTTACCTACCTTTCACCAGTAACCCTAAATGCTTTTATTTCTCCGTTTGTTTAACTGCCGGGCTGCTAAAGCATTGTGCATTTTAAACGCCTAAACTGACAGATCTTCAACTTACCACCAAAGTGTTGAAGCTGAGGTGTACTTTGCCACCATGAGGGACTGTTATTCGCCAAACACAGAGCACGTCGTTGCTTCGTTTTCCCATGTATGAAAATATTCCGGAAGTACCATTCAACTCCTTCCCACAGTTGTCTACAAAAACATTGGTCACAATTGATGGCTAAATTAATGCTGCTTTCGAAACAGAAAATAAAAATGATTTCGTTCGACTTTTTAAGCAAATGCAAGGAAGCGTTTCAACATCTCAGCTACAGTCAACGTTAATTTTATTTGTCATGCGTACAAGGCATTTATTCAAGCAACCAGACTGGACTAATTACCCGCATGTATAGTAAGTATTGGCCATTGATCATAACATTGTCTCAGTTAATAGAATGTCTATGCATGGACAAGCAGCTTTTCTTTCCATGGATGACGTTTTGTTTTAGCAAGGGTCTATTCATCACATAAGAAATCAGGAATTCCTAATAGATTGGTAGTTTTCTTGACCGAGATGTGTGAAAAACTGAGTTAACGGTTGATAGTAACAATTGTTTTGCGATGTGACTCGTGATAATTAACAGAGTACACCGGTACCGGTAAAGCAGTGTCTCAATTCAGAAGCAGCGGCCCATGCCATGTCCAAAGTATGAGATCAAATACCTTTTGATTTCAAAAGTGAATGTAGTTAGAGCAGATGTGCTTTCAAACAGATGAATATGACAAACGCATCAGACGGATAGCACAAACGGCATACCAGTCATAACTCACGAAATATCTGGCCGCCATCTGTAAAGAAGAAACAAAGTGTAGATGTGTGTAAGCACGGATCTGAGTTGATGGTATGGCAATTAAACGGTCTGTAGTCTACATCTTGGTTGTTAATGGAATCTGTGGTCTGGCATGTAAGGCAGAGTCTACTCAAATGCAAAAACGTACCTGTTGGAGCTATTGGGTTGGTTTGATCTGTGAGTTGTACAAGGATAATAGAGTGAAATTTTACGATAAGAACTGACACTAAAACAAAACGGTTAAACCTCCGCATGGTAACAAAAAGGGTACAAAATTGTTAGTATCCTATATCTTGAAAAACCTTTCAAAGATCGACTGGCCTACTTTGAACGGCCTTAAGCAGCACGATGTGAATGTGGGTTTACGGACACGACAACATTGGAGGAGCTGCGAACCTGCAAGTGAGCCGGAGCCGACTGGTTGCCGTTTGAATTATTTGAAATACGCCGGATCAGCGCTGGTGAATGTGCAACACCACTTGGTGCAACGCTTTTGCATTGAGGAGAAGGTGCCTCCAGAGCTAAAGGATACTCTCGTGCTACCACTGTACAAGGGCCAAGGGAGCAAGCAACTTTACACTAATTATCGTGCTATCGAGCTGCTGAGTTGTGTGGGTAAGGTGCTTGCACACATCCTGCTCATCCGCCTCGTCAGACTGGTTGCGTAACCGAGCGTGGCAGAAAAGCAATATGGATTCCGTTCGAGTCGAAACACCATCGATATGGTGTTTGCCGCTTGTCAGTTGCAGGAGAAGTGCAGAGAACGCCACCAGCCATTGTACTCGCTTTGATGATTCCACCAAAGCATTTTACACGGGTAACTGCAAGGCATTGTGGCCGGTGTTGGGCAAATTTGGTTTTCGAAGTAAATTTGTAATTTTAATTGTATGCCTGCATAGTGGCATGCGGGCAAGGGTGCAGCTGTGTGTGCAGTCCTCTGATGATTTTGCTGTTGTCTCTAATGTGAAGCAGGGCTTTTGTTGGCTACTGCCCTGTTTAATATCTATCTTCATGCAACGATATCGTGTGCTTTTGATGCGGCTTGTGCTGACGGTGTTCGTATGAAGCACTATAATCATGGTGCGCCGCTGAACATCCGTCGTTTCGGTGCGAGAACCGTAGTCTGTGGAACAGCTATACGTATGCTGCTGTTCGCTGAAGACTGTGCGTTGTTTGCATACAACGCGGAGGAGTTGCAGTACATGACATCTTCTCCGGCTTCGACAGCGGCTAAATTTGTGTTCACCATCAACATAAGCAAAACTGTCTGTTTCTTTCAGCCTTCACCGGAGGTGCAATCTCCGATATGGTCGCGAATCAGCGTTGGTGATGATGTAATGGAAACCAACTTCCGCTTCTTGCATCTTGGTATTTTGATGTCGAGTGACCAGCAAGTACACAGTGAGCTACGTATCCGCCTAACGAAGGCAGCGACGACATACGGAAAGCTTGAGTACTGAGTGTGGAACGAACCTCTGCTTAGCGTTGGCACGAAGCTGATGGTGTATAAATCCATGGTGCCATCCGTTCTTCTATACGGCAGTGAATCGCGGACCATGTTCCGGCGGGATTTGCGATATTTCCAGCGGCTAAGTCAACGGTATATGCGAAGGATTCTGCGCATTGGTTGGTGCAACCGATTGGAAGACAAGGAGGTGTTGCGCTGAAGTGGAGTGTATGCAGTCGACTGCATATTTTTGCTGAGACACTTGAGGAATCTGGGCCATATGTGGCGTATGTATTCGACTCGGATACAGAAGCAGCCGTTATACGGTCAGCTGAGTGCAGGGAAGCGGCATGTGGGGAAACCGAGGTTACCTTACCAGGGCATGATCAATGTGAGCCTAACATTTTCTAATGTTGATTGCGGGTGTTGGGAATCAAAGGCGGATATTCGACGTGAATGGCGCAATCTGTTTATGAGGGCTTGCTGCACTTGACAATATATTGCTGCTGCCTTTCTAAATTACCGTATATCAGTGAATATAAACCGATATTATTTGGATACATTTTCATTTCGCTAGAAGGGAGCTGGAATGTAGAAATGTTATACGCAATTTGGAAAAGGTCACACGGTAAATCATTCAGAAATTCACTACATGAGAATGCCATTAGCAGCAGGCCGATGTAATGCAATGACGCATCGCTGCCATGCGACTGCCATCAATCGCGGTGGATTGGGTGCACCGCTAGGATACCCGGCACTTACGCGGATTTTAAAAACCGACCACTGGATAACAGGGCAACAGCAGGACACTTTCGGCTAACGAGCAACCTTTGTTGGAACAATTAGACAAATATAACAGAATTTAGCTTGGCATTCACTCCTGTACCAAAGATGGGGCAAAATACAATCAAACAATATTATTAAAGTTAAAGTTAAACCCGCTCTTTGGATGTGATTTTTATGGCTAGCATTGATAATGTTATCCGTTAAGTTACTTACTCATTGAGTCAACTGAAACAAAGAACGTGGCGAGGAGACAGATTACCATACGATTGCCGCTTTACCAGGGTTAATACACCCAACTGGTCAGCAAGGGGTACTGCAGTAGAGTCACATATACCAAAGATGAAACATTGTTGCATTTCTTGATATCTGGAGCAAAGTATGTGAAGTTAGTCTTCTTCCTGCTTGGAAAATATAAATTGATGAAATCAGTCTTGGAGGTGGTCTGTCTTGGTTCAATCAATTTGGGTGTGTTGCACAAGCTTCACCGGCAAATTACTTAGGCTAGATAAACAGACGCTTGGGAACATTTATATTTTGACTTAGCATGGCTGTTAATCGATAAACAATTCACATACACTTAAACTTATGATTGTGCTAACCACATAAATATCTCAACAATTAGCTCGAACGTTAAAACCATCCTCATGAATCCTCGATTTTTCCGGTACAGACATGGATTTGCCATTTTACTTGAACGTTTATCATATGGAATCATGTTGCGGATCAGTATGCTCCATATACAAATCTCAACCGTGTTACTTGTTTGATCAATACTTGATAGAGCGCCATCACACTCGTTTAAAAGCATCAGCGTAACAAAAACCACATCGTGAGCAGATGAGTTTTATACCCTGTGGTCAGGCTCATGTGCTAGAGAAGCAAAAATAAATGGAAGCATTGTTTTGGCCTTGTCATAATTTGTGTATTTTCATGGTATTTTCATGGAAACTAGAATGTGGTCTGGATGGACTCGGGAAGACAGCCACCACTGATCCAGGAAATCGCTAGATGGCCTTTTCGTCCTATTGGGATTGTCAGTGGCACAGTGCCGTCGAATTCTGCCGGAATAGAACAAACAACCTTACTTTTGCGAATCAGCGAAGTATGCCGCTGAGCCATTGGTGATGGCAGCTGACCGGCATTATTGATCCGTAGTTGTGAAATAAAATTAGCATTTTGCATGCCACCTCAGTTGATGGCAGCTCGCAAAGGAAGTAGTTGCTCTAGAGGCCGGCCCTGTATTCTGCACATTCATACCATTCATGACAGTCGAGGATAAACCGCCCTATAATGCAGTAAGATATCAGTCATGGCGGTCTGCTGTCGTCCCCTATTGCTCAATGACATAAGTAGCTGGCTCGTAAGAGTAAGGTGGTGTGTTCGAATCCGTCAAGATTCGGCGGGTGCGCGCCACTGTTGAGTACCGATAGGACGAAACGGAAATCTAGCGCTTTCTTGGATATGTGCTGGCTTTCTCACTAAGTGTAAGTGTGGGGAACCTTCACAAAACCCAAGAA